TTCCCAGACTCGTGAGAGTCATTTCAATAAAATATATTTATTTCGTTATTATAGATAGGACACATCGATTTTATACCGATTTCTTGTAATTACAGAAAAACTACGCATTTAAATGCAACTAGCTTTTACGGATTTTATCGCGTATATTAACTAATATATTTCTGAAGTTTCGAGTACTTTACAGCACCCATGGTCACGGGGAGGAGTGAGGTGTTCGACGTCACAATGTCATAGTTAACTAAGGCTATCTTCAGTTTAATTATATTCATTAATTAAATTTTATTTGCCCATTACACAATTATGACGCGTGCGGCACTCATTGATCTTTTCGACCATTACAGGAAGAAGCTTCACATGATACTGCCGCAAGCAAAGACTTTGAAGCGAGCATGACATACCCGAGTCCATCATACATTCAGGCCCGCTACTCAAAAGACAATCTAAGAGTATAGTTTTAACTTGCCATCTAACATTGTCAAAAAAGTTGTAGTAGTGCGACTGTTGATCATGAGGTCCTGGGTTAGAATCGATTGATTTTTTCCGTTAAGAAATTCTCAGTAGCCCGGAGTCAGGAAGTTGGCGGTGTCTTACCCCCGTGCCTCGGAAATTATGTGAAGCCGTTGATCCTGCGCCTGATCTCTCTCCGGTCGTGTCGGTTTACCGTCCCATCGGATTATTACGTTAGATGGCACTGTCTTGAAAAGTTGAATATAACAATAATATCGTAGTATGTCGGCGTAGTTCAATTTATTACACATTGGTTAAAACTAATTTGGTCTTTATTTATAAACGTTTTACTTATTTTATTAAAATACAACAATCATATAAAATAGAAATTAAGATCTAAAGGAAGGAAAATACTTAACCCTCCTTTTATGGAGTTCCGTAATTGGATAAAAAGTAGCCTATAAGTAGCCCCAGGTCCATAACTACCTATACACAATATTTCACGGAAATCTGTTTAGTAGTTTCTGCGTGAATCTTTAATACAGAGACAGACAGACAAAAATTTTAAAAACCACAAATTTGGCTTCAGTGCACTTTATTTAGTCCCTTGTTGTTTTTTCCAGAAAAGATTAGAATTATAGACATGACTTTTCTACAGATTTATTATATGTATAGATTATCGTCATAGCTTTTAGCTATAGAGGTAATATATGTATATAAATAATATATAGCCCATATCTATCCGGAATAATGTACATTTCAAATTATAAAATATTATTTTTAAATAGGTGCATTTTTTCCGGAAATTATCCTCCACATATACAAAGTCACAAAATTCTCACTTTCTTTTTATAATAGTACGATGACGAAGTAACGTTTACACAGAATACCAGCATAATACAGCTGTGCTTAGCATGGTGAGTGACGAAAACTGGAGACCATTTCGCTGGTTATTCCATCTTAGTCGTCAGGGATGATAACGCGTCTAAATTTTGATTCCGATGGTTGATAATTGTAGGTGTCTATGGGATACAGCATTGCCTTACCATCAGGTGAACAGTGTGTTCGTTCATTAACCTGACTTATATAAAGGATACGTTTGCAATTTATCTTTATGAGATTAATTTATTTGAAACATCTTGCTTATTGCTTTATTAGGAAGAAGATTCACGAAGTGAAAAAGAACCAGGTGAAGTGGATGAACTTGATGGTCCGCCAGCACTTGAGGAGCCATTTGAATCATCAGCAGTAGAAACTAAGGGAGGCGTTGCGATTGATATGCTGACTGGATCGGAGGAAGAAGATCCTACAAGCAATGAAAGTGACAGCGACAGTGATTGTGATAATAAAAAGAAGGAAGATGGTGCGATTTTCATTATTAAGTAAGAGGTGCAGAAGTCGATGTTTGCAAGTGGTTCAGAACCGTGCTTGGTGGCATTACTAGGAGGAGGTTTTTGTTCAGTAGCGGACTTGTAAAGTACCTGCTGTTATGAATATACTCACGGAATACTAGCATAGAATAGCAGCTTAATACTGCTGTCAACTATGGCAAAATCCAGCCTATGAGACAATCTATGTTCAGCAGTGGAATTTTATAGGCTGTTATGGATGGATGTCGATAGCATATAATAAAATTTGTTTGTTCATTTGTACTTTGTTCAGCGGTTAAGTCAAATATCAGAAAACTTCTATATTTCAAAAAAAGTTTAGAGTGTTACATACGATTACCTTAGTACAGCACGTATTGCTGGTTCAGATAAGGCTCGAAGGACTATTTTACGTTGAGAAATCAAAGACTAGTTTAACGTGTACTATATATAATAATCATTTGACAAAACTGTATAAAACCTTAAATGGAAGAGAAGTATTAAAGTATAAGGGAAGTATTAAAGTATAAGAATTATAGTATAAGGGAGCAGAGGTGTCGCTAGTAAAGTAAAGTAAAGTTACAGCCTATATACGTCCCACTGCTGGGCTCAGGCCTCCCCCTCATTTCTGAGAGGGTTTTAGGGCAAGGAAGTGTCCGCCGCGCTGCCCCAATGCGTGTTGACGAACTTCACATGTCTTCGAAATATTTTTTTTCTTATTCCTCAGACATGCAGGTTTCCTCACGATGTTTTCCTTCACCGCCGAGCACGTGGTAAATCAGCACTTAAAATTGCAATTAACAATTTCATTGGTGCCGGCGGGGATCGAACCCGGGTTACTCGCGTTCTGTTATATTTACAGCGAGCGTTAACCACTGAGCTACCACGGCTACTGTCGCTAGACTAATTTGAAATGCTATTGTGGCAGTCAGATAGTCCCGCGGTATATTAACTCCTTCTACGCGCCCCACAGATCCCTCATTGATAACCGGCTCACGCGATGAAGTCCGAATAGAGAGCATGTAAAGATTGCTAACATTTTCAGCTGCTTTGGAATAACGTATATACATGGTAGTGTTATGCTGCAGGTATATTATAGTTTTAGCAGAAATGGGTCGGCTCGACCGGGGTAGTACCATGCTCTCTCAGAATATCGGCGTGAAATAGCAGCTCAATACTATAGTATTGCGTGTGGTGAGTCTAGAGAAACGGAGACCTTTTTTTAACTGGATATAAGGCATTTCATTTTAGTCCTCAGCGGTGATAATGCATCTGCATTTTAATTCTTAATCGAAGGTGGAGTCTATGGGACACAGTAACCAATTTCCATTAGGTGGACAGTGTGCTCGCTTGTCACCCTTATTCCATAAAAAATAACAGGGGATATACCAGCTCTCCATTTCATTAGTGTTTCTACTCTGAAATTCCTGTACGCCACTCCTGTAATCCAGTAATATGAATACCTTGTTTTTTTTCATCTTTACCATATTTCATGAATAGATATTCGTACGTCAACTTCAGAAATTGTGTGGTCACAAGGCACTACAAAGTTGGTTCAGGAAATCGAAGTGGACCCGTCTACGCCACCGCTCGAGGATTATTGGTGCGGATATAGAGGTGATTTGAAATCAACTGATGGTTTTAAAAAGTAAGTTCACATTGGTTTAGTATCACACTAATATAAAAATAAATTTTTCCTGGTTGTAGTGTTTTTTGATTTAGCACTGGGGCCCTTTTCTATAAAATCTATTAGCAGCGTCTTCCAAATAACTAATAAAAATAAAAACTCTGCTATTAGCAGTGTCTTCCAAATAACTAATAAAAATAAAAACTGCTATTAGCAGCATATTCCAAATAACTAATAAAGATAATAACTGCTATTAGCAGCGTCTTCCAAATAACTAATAAAAATAAAAACTCTGCTATTAGCAGCGTCTTCCAAATAACTAATAAAAATAAAAACTCTGCTATTAGCAGCGTCTTCCAAATAACTAATAAAAATAAAAACTCTGCTATTAGCAGCGTCTTCCAAATAATTAATAAAAATGAAAACTGCGGTTGCTAAATCATATAATATAATAATAAAAATCATCTTTATTCAGGCAAATTACACCCATATCCAGTAAAATCAAAGAATTTAAAATCAGTCTCCAAAATTAAGCAATAAGTAAATCAATGTCAATACAAAATAACAATTTTAAAATAAGAGATCTAGTCAATGTAAATAGGCAGTAATGTCAGTATATAAAATATATTGAAATAAAATTAAAATTAATAAATAAATAACAGAATTACACACATTTATCAGTCAGGAGACGAGATCAATAATTAAAACTTTCTCTGAGGCAACTGTGCTGCAATAAATGAATTTAAAATCAATCTCCACAAGTATAGCAATACAATACATAAATCAATGTCAACAAAATAACAATTTTAAAATAATACATCCAGTCAATTTCAATAAGCAGTAATGTCATTATATAAAATAATCTTAATCAAATAAAATAAAGTTAATACATAAATAATAGAATTGAAACACACTTTTATCAGTCAGGAGACGAGATCAATCAAAACTTTCTCAGAGGCAACTGTTCTGCGACATGTCTGTCGCAGCAATGCCGGATAATATATAACAGTCTAACCTTCCCGAGATCATCGCCAAGACAGTGTTGGAGCTGGCCCGCACTCTGCGCACCAGGAACGCGGCCCGCTTGCGCATGGTGGCATTGAAGCAATCGGTGCGCGCATCCGCGAACATACCAGAGGCACTACAAAATCGAGGCAGCCCCATCACTGACCTAAACGCATTATTGTATTGGACGCGGAGGACGCTGTAACTCTTCCCACTGTAATTAGCTCATAAGCTGCACGAGTAGAGCGATGTACAGAACGCTCGGAAGAGCGTAACCTTAACCTCCTTTGAACACCGCGCAAACCTACGAGCAATCATGTTAGCTATGTACCAAGGGTGACAACTATAACGTAGTAAGCGAAAGTGATGTTTTGTAAAAACGATACAATACCGTGACGAAATTTGGTCTGCTTCAAGATTTTAAATACAGTGCTTTGCTATTAGAAAATAAATAAGATGATTTACGTTTCATCTTATTTATTGTCTAATAGCAAAGTATTAAATTTTATCACTCGATTTTTGAGTTTCAATGATCAGGCAAGTGGACTGACGTAACCCAGCGGATCAGTAGGTTGAAATTTTCTTTGTAATGTAAACAATAAGGGTAACAAACGAGCACAGTCTACCTGATGGTGAGTGGATGCTGTAGCCCATAGACATCTACATTTATCGTCATTTAAGAATCAAAATACAGATGCGTTGTTACCCCTAAACACTAAGATGGAATGCTTAATTTTCAGTAAAGAAATCTCTGGTTCTCTACACTAGTTGAGCTGCTATTTTGCGTTGGTATCGAGTCGACCTATTCGTGCTACAACCATTACAAATAGCCCCTATATGAGGCAACCTATGGTTCAGCAATAGTCTTTGATGGTCTGTAACGATTATGGTAATCGTAACGGATTTCAGTAATTATTTATGATCTTTTGTCGACATAGATTATTACTATTAAAATTTTGTTGCAGCAAAACTATTACAGAATTTGAAGCAATCAATAATTTGCTATTCAGTCAGACGCCACGCACTGATAACAAATCGACAGCTACCACGTTTAAAGGTAACCAAGAATAATTGTATGATATGTTTAAATGTTGTGTACATCTTTGTTGTGGACATACCACGCATTTGAACTAAAACAGTTTAGTTCATTATTCATTATTCATAATGCGTACAGAAAAACAATGGAATAATTTTCCAGATGCAGTCTTCCATCAGATTATAATGTTATAACTTATTCACTCTTGCCTTAAAGACACCTCGTCAAGACAAGAGTGAATAAGCTTCTGAAAGCTTAAGCTAAGTCATTGCGCTTTACTGCACGTTGCTGCATCACAACTTACCACCAGGCATCAGGCTCCGTAACGAATCGACTTAGCAATGAATTACGGCCGTGGAGTGTAGAGGTAAGGAGAACCGTCTCCGTATTAAAAAGTGTCCGTAGGAAAGCGCTAAATCAGGGTGGCGCCACTGTAGCTAGAGGGTAAATTTTAAAGAACTTTTTATAACTTTTTATTGCAAAGACGTTCACCATAATTCTTTTTTATTGTAATTATTTTATTGTTTTTAAAATTTTTATTTTAAAAATCGCTCAACGTGTTTCGCGGTGACTTTTTCTAGGTTATATTTACTTATTGAATTATTTTAGAAAACTTGAGTAGTTGAGGTTTTCAATACTGCAGTTTCATCAACTACTCTAGTCACCATAAATAATAAATTCTTCAACTCAGCACACTTCAGCCCGTCGACAACTGCTAAGTTCATTATATACTCTCTAGCTACTCTAGCGCTGTTGTGGAGAGTTTTTGAACTGTTATTTACTGCTTACACATGGACACTTTTTCAACTATTTTCCTATGTGAGATGAGTCTCCTTACCTCTACATTCCATTATTACGGCGCTGATGGCTGAGGAAAAGAATCCCGCACAGAACAAGTATTAATAATTATTTCGGGTCTTGATGTTTGTTCTTGTGCAATTTATGCATATAAACGATACAGTAGAAAATCCTGGTATTGGAGTAATTTAAAAGATTAAGAGAGAAAAATAGCTTATATATAAACAACCTGTAAAGACGTACCACATAGCAGTATACATTTTATATACCAATTTAGAATTATATTGTGTTAAGTATGTATGTATTGTGTATAAGTGAAGTAATCTGATAAATGATGTATTTAATATTAGTCGAAATGTTTACTTTATAATAAAGTTTTAGACAATTCGCCGACTTTACCGTTCACATCTGATACATAAATGCTGAGTCACTCTTTCCTCACTCATTCTTTCTACATGACTAAACCACCGAAGCATTCCTTTCTTAATCCTCGTCACAGCATCGTCATGCAAACCACACTCTTCTTTTATCACACTATTTCTCGCCCTGTCACTCAGATTCAGCCTTAACATACTCCTTAACGACCGCATTTCTACTGCGTTCATTCTACTCTCGTGCTTCTTCTGCCACACCCAACTTTCACTGCCGTTCGTTAAAGTAGGGACCAACACAACACAGCAGTGAATTGCTATTATTTTTTTAAACATTTATAATTTATATATTGCAGGGGTAAATGAACGAAGTAACGAGATTGAAATAATTAAAGAATTACAATCGAATGTTGAAAACTACTCTGAAGGTGCAATACGAAAACCACTAATTGAAATTATAGATAATTCAGATGATACGAACATTATAGATAACATTAACATAAATGGCAGCAAAAATAGAGTGTCAATTAGTGAAATACCTAAGAACAAAGACGCGCAAAATGACATTCGTGACAAGGAAATACAAGCAGACAAAATTATCGCAATATCAAATGAGCGAAACAAAATGGTATGTAGTGAAGAAGGTAAAAATAATGAAAATAAATACTCAAAACGTATAGACATCAAAGAAATAAAACGTGAAGAAATTAATGTAACTAAGCTAATGGATAATAATGGAGATACGGATACTACAAAGCTGGGACATGATTCGGAAGGTAGAGGTTGTGAAAATAAATCAGAGGAAAAAACAGAAGCTTGTGCTACTAGCTGTGATGAACCCGCTACAGGAAAGAGCAGTAAGTAAACGTAATGTGCAAGTAAAAATGTTCCAATACCAGAAACTTCCCATTTTGTCGGGGAACTTGAACTATTTCGTTATTTCTCGTTCTCGTCTATTTTTTGGACAATTCACATTATAATTCCGTACTTGACACTCAATACTTAAGATCTGTTAAAACAAACATGACAATAGAAATTGTATAGAAGTAAAGTATAGTAATGTCATGTGGTTTTTATAGTCATCATCATGTTTATACTTATTTTTAATTTCTTAAAATCTAATATAACTTAAAATGAAAAATCCAAGTTTTCTAAAAGTAGCAAATCTTCACAATATTTTATTTTTATTTTTCGGACATGCAGGTTTCCACACGATGTTTTCCTTAATCACAGAGCACGTGGTAAAACACCACTTAAAATTGCAATTAACAATTTATTTTGTGGTGGCGAGGATAAAACCCGGGTTGCTTGCGTACTGTGAAATTTGCAGCGGGCGCTAAGTGACTGAGCTGCCACGGCTCTTTAACTTAAACGTAACTACAACTTCTATTTAGATATAAAAATAAGTATTTTCCTTAGGGAAAAAGCTTTTTTTAAGTCGAGAGAGGAGAAGATAACTATCACTATCACTATCATTACAGCTCTTCACAAGTCCACTGCTGAACATAGGCCTCCCCCAAGTAATGCCACAAAGCATGGTCCTGAGCCACCTGCAGCCATCGACTTCCTGCATATCTCACCAGGTCGTCACTCCATCTAGTGGGGGGTCGCCCTACATTACGCCTACCGGTACGAGGCTGCCACTCGAGAACCTTTCTTCCCCATCGGTTATCGGTTCTTCGAACTATATGGCCGGCCCATTGCCACTTCAGCTTACTAATCCGTTGGGCTATATCGGTCACTCTGGTTTTACTGCGGATATCCTCATTTCTGAGTCTATCACGCAGAGAAACTCCGTACATAGCCCTCTCCATAGCTCGCTGAGCGACCTTGAGCGTCCTCATACGGCCAGCAGTTAAGGACCACGTCTCAGATCCCTAAGTCATCACTGGCAACACGCACTTGTTTGTTGTACAATCTAATTTTCAGAGATTGAGGTATACCTGACGAGAAGATGTATTGTAATTTCCCGAACGCTGCCCAGCCGAGTTAAATCCGTCGATTGACTTCTCGGTCGAAGTTGAACTTACCTAGTCGGACTATTTGTGCCAGGTAAACGTACTCGTCACCAACTTCGAGCATAGTGCGCCCAGCAACTACCGGCGTAGGTGTGACATGGACATTAAACATGATCTTTGTTTTGTCCATGTTCATCTTAAGACCTATCCGTTGGGAGAAACCATTGAGGTCATTGAGCATGGTGCTTAGGTCCTCCAGCGATTCTGCCATAAGGACTATATCGTCGGCAAATCGAAGGTGAGTGATGTACTCGCCATTGATGTTAATACCGTATCCTTTTCAGTCCAGTAGCTTGAAAACGTCTTCCAATGCAGCGGTGAAGAGTTTCGGGGATATAACGTCACCCTGTCTTACACCTCTCTGCAGTTGGATAGGTTTCGAGCTCTGGTTCTGTACTCGGATAGCCATCGTAGCCCTACTGTACAAACACTTCAGCACTTCGATATACCGACAGTCAACTTGGCACCGCTGAAGGGACTGTAGCACCGCCCAAATCTTCTGTACAATCTGCCGCAGGGTATGTATGTGGTCTATAGTATTGAAGCCTTTTCGGAAACCGGCTTGTTCGGGAGGCTGGAAGTCGTCGAGTCTGCGTGCGAGACGATTCGTAATGACTCTCGAAAACAGCACGTAGACGCGGCTCAGAAGGGAAATCTGTCTGTAGTTCTTCAAGAGAGCGTTGTCGCCTTTCTTAAAGAACAAGACCACCGCACTTCTGCTCCACGCCTCCGGAGTAGTTCCACCATGGAGGACGGAATTGAAGAGCTTCTGAAGGACTTCAAGTACCGGTGTTGCACCCGCTTTCAGAAGCTCCGCTGTAATTCCATCCTCACCAGGGGTTCTGCCGTTTTTAAGTTGCTGGAGAGTCATTCTAATCTCGCTCAGACTGACGTCCGGGATGTCATCGAAATAGTGTCGGATAAGACTTGCTCTTGGATCGTTACTCACACTTGCGTGTGACTCCAACAATGATGTGTACAGCTGCCTCATAGAACCGCTTGCTCAATCTCACTCAAAATCTCAGGTGTCACGGAAAAGATGCTGCCACATTCAGTCTTCATCTTTGACGGTTGGCTCTTTCTGGCAGACAGATCTCTGGCAAAGACTTTGGAGCCCTGGTTCCACTCGATTGCTTCTTTAATACGAGCAGTATTAAAGTTGCGTAAGTCTCGCCGCATGCATTTGGAGATCTGTCTGTTCCGTTGCCTGTATGCTGTCAAATTTGTTGACGATTGCAGCCTCATCTCCCGTCTAACAGCCATGAGATTAAGATTGTGATCGGAGAGTTTTTGTGTTCTTCTGCGGCGGGTCTTGCAGAACTTAGCTCCGACCGCATGGACAGTTTCCACGAATATTTGCATTGCAATCTTCTAGGCACTGAAAGCGGTTACGTAACTCGAGCTGAAAGGTTTCGGGATTCTGGATTAGAGCACGAGGGGGACGGAGCGTTGATTTCATTATACGAGACCTCTCCAACTTAACGTTTAGGTTCAGTGTGCCTCTAATCATTCGGTGATCGCTGCCAGTTTTCACCCTTGCGATCACTGAGACATCACTGAACAGTTGGCGTCTGGTCGTCATAATGAAGTCAATCTCGTTTTTTGTTGAACCGTCGGGGCTCGACCAGGTCCACTTTCTGTGGGGCCGCTTCTGGAAGAAAGAGTTCATCATAAAAAGTCCCTCTTTCTCCATGAAGTCGGCCAGCTGCTGGCCCCTTGGATTCCGTTGCCCTATCCCAAATTTCGCTACCTTCAGCTCACCGTTCTTTCTTGTGCCCAGTTTTGCGTTGAAGTCTCCCATTAACACCGTATAGTGAGTTTTGGAGGAATGCATGGCTCTAGAAATGTCCTCATACATTTCCTCCACCTCCTCATCGGGATGTTCCGACGTTGGCGCGTAAACCTGTATGACCTTCAGCGAATACCGTTAGGTGATTCTGAGTATAAGGTACGCAAACCTCGTCGATACACTCCCAATCTTTAAAACGTCGTTAACGAGAGACGGATTCGAGAATCACCGTGTCCTCCCCCTCTCTTCGGACCTCGGATAATCCTATAATATTCCAGCGCAACTTGTCTATCTCTTCTTCCAGCTCACAATTTATGAATTCGTTTCCATTTATATATATATATATATATATATATATATATATATATATATATATATATATATATATATATATATATATATATATATATATATATATATATATATATATATATATATATAGCTATACTATGTTTAGTCCTTAGGGGTGACAACGCATCTGCGTTTTGATTCTTAATCGAAGATAAATGTAAATGTCTATCACCACTTATTCTATAAAAAAAAAAACCCACACCGATTCGCTAATTTACTATAGGATACTTTTTAGAAATGTCTGATTTATTTTTATATACATGTTATATAACCGTTTACATGTTTTGTGAATACGACAAAAAATGTAGTATTTATTCTAATTATACTGAGTTCTAATTAAGAGCTTAGTAGGATAATTACGTTAGCAGATAATAATAACTTTAAGAGTTCAACTTTGTGCTTATCCCTTAAAGCCTAGTAAAGGTCCACTGCTAAACATTGGTTTCCCCTTTGGATTAGCTCAGAGGGGGGATAGTTGCCATAAATGCTACACTTGGCAGACGAGTTCAAAAGTTGGTAATCAGGAAGACGCTGCTACACATCCCCCGGTTTGTTTCCCTCTGTTGCCTCCTAACACACCCACGGGATATTCCTACACCGCCACTACACCCCAATTGGTCTTTATACAAACCTAAAAAATCATATTAATTTTTCAATTTTATAGCAGCAAGTAACCAAGGAGATGGAGTCGCTCTCATCAGGTACTTATGTGGCAATGATAATGAAGATGACGATGAAGATTTGAAGCCAAGTGCTGAAGATTTGGAAATATTCGCGGAATTGGAAAAAGAGCAGCAAGAGCGAGAAGCTAGGATTGCTAGAGGGGAACTTGCTGTTGATCCTATGGTAATTAAAGTTATGCCCTTTAGGCAGAATTTTGGTCACGGCAGCCAGTCTCAATAGAAACTAGCCATCTGCACAGGACTGGATTATAGTGCACGAGTGTGTGCACAAGAATAGGCGCACTAATTAAGTTGACGACAACGACTTTATTTAAAAAAAAAATTATTTATACAAAATTACAGAGTTATAGCTTATAGTTACTTCCAAAACTAATCCGTCTTACAGTTAAGTTAGCCTAGTATTTATATTAAAATATCTCTTACTAAACAACCCCTACTATGACGCACGGCCTAACTCTTATGAGTGCTTATGAAGCAGATATTAGAAGGGTCATCACACTTAACCTCTCCCTCCCCAAAAGAAAAATTATCCGAAGGAGATGAAGTTGACTTCGGAGAATTTTGTCTCTGACTTAATCTATGAAATTTCCATTTAAATACCATAACAATTATAATTAACAGTGTCACAACATAAAGACTTAAAGTCCATATACTTATTTTGTTCGTCACTAGGGCTTCCACCACCATTTCACTATTACTATTTCTAGCACTATTCATAATTTCTTTTACGTCACTGAAATCTACGTTTGTTAAGTCCAACTTCTTTACTTCTTTCGTCACGTCGTAATGCACCTCCGGAATCTTCACAAGTGGTGTCTGTAGACTGGCTTCCGACATGTTGCTTGATAGGCTAATGGTTATTTTTCCCATTTGTATGTTGAAACCTATGCTCGGCGTCAAAATGTATATTCCTTGTAGGTTAAATCTGTGGGTATCATCTTTGCACTGCTCCGTCAGTATAACATCGTCTTCTGCATAGAGTATCCAGTGGTCAAAAGTTATTTTCTGTATTTTCAACTTCTCTATTTTTATTTGATGTTGATGGCAATTACTGAAGTTATTTTTAATCAGCATTATTTCTTCGATACATGTTTCTTCATCAACTGGTGCCATATTTTCCTCCGAACATAAGTGTTTGTTTGGTTCTATTTGGGTACACGGGCTTACTACGTTTCTGTATTTGAAACCATTCACTAATAGGTAGGGGTGTTTAGGAATTATGGTATAGGTGTTGGTCAATTTCTTTATAGGGATAGGAATAATCTCGTAATAGTTATACGTTTCCTTTTCTATTAATGGTATTTCTAAGATAAAAACTAGTTTGTCTTTGTCTATATAACATTTTAGGATAATGTTACGTTCTAATTTTAATAAGTTATTTTTTGTTACTTGGTAAATAGTTTGTGCATTTTGGCTTATTGTTTTGAAAACATTTAGTAATTTCGTGTTTTCGAAATAGATATAATATTTATGTTTAAAATCGATATATTCTTTAAAAAAAAATTTGACAAGTTTCTCATTACTTAAAGGCACGTGAACTTCTAGTATACGTTGTCTTTTATTTGAATTATCTTTAACAGATATTTTATCGTTAAACCATGTAGAAACTAAAATTTGATGTGGTTTGGTATCTATAGCTTCGTTCAGGATCGGAATCCCTTCGTGTTTCCTGTTTGATACTGAGTTGGCTGTGACACCATCGTCTGATAATTCCATCAGTTCCATCGGTGGCTCGACTTCGGTATCAGAAACAACTATAGATTTCTCGCTTTCCGTGTCGGAAATTAAGGGGGTTTTTTTTTTTTTTTTTTGGGGTATTTCTTTTTTTTTTTCCATTTTTTTGTTGTTATTTCGGTATCGGTATAATTTACGCGTCTTGAACTAACTGTCCTCATTGTGACGTCAGTATTAGAGTTCGACGGCACTTGTGACGCTCGGTGTTGCATATTGTTTCACGAAAAATGCTGACGGTGTTGTGCCGATGACGGTCGTACTGGTGACCCAGTTTCAAAGTTCGCATTAAAGTTATTTCTATTGTTCATTGTATAATTACTTTCGATGTGGGGAGAAATATTATTTGAATTAAATGAATTATTTTGGTTATTCGATGAATGGCCGTTTGTTTGATATTGAAAACTTGGGCGGGCCTTTATATTTATTATTATGATTAAAATTAGGATGATTTAGGAAATGGCTTGGTCTAAAATGTTGATTAGACCTTGGGTTCCTATTTTCGTAAACTGTTTGGAAGTTCTGTTCCTCTAAGACAATTTTTAATGCGTCTTCTGAGTTGGTAACATTATGTAGTCGTACTAGTCTCACTAAGTAAGCAGGTAAATTGTATAAAAAAACGTTTAATGCTGTGTTATCGTATATCGTTTGTTTAGCTTACCGTAAGTCTCGATTATTAATAGTTTCGTTAATTTTTGAAAATAAAATGCTTTTTAAATGTTGCACCCGGTGACAAAATTCTTGATAACTTTCGTTTCTATGTTTTCTAAGACTCTCTAGCTCCATAGCTAAGCATTCTTCAGACCTTGGGTCGCCAAAGTGTTGGTTTAACAGCGACTTGAGGTCTGCCCAAGAGTCTATCTGCTCCCTTTCTCCCACTAAACCAGCAGCTTCCCCTGACAAGCGACTGGTAATGACGTGAAATAAATATTCATTTTGTAAGTTACCCCCTTGGAATGTTTGTAAAATATATTCGCATTTTTTATGAATAAAGGTAACCTAGCATCTGCATCAAAAATTGGGATAATTTTCGTCATTTCTACGGAAATTCTTTCAATGTTTTCCATTTTAAAATAAAATAAATATCCAAATTTTTAAATACCAAGAATAAAATTGATTTAGCTAAGATCTACTAACAAAATTTTGATTGTTTGGTAGAAGAGTATTGTTATGGCGTTTTCTATTCCAAGACAATACCTACGTATAACTAATACAAGAGGAAACAAAAGGAAGGTTACGGGAAGTGAAAAGTTTTACTCACAGTCTCGCAGATCTGCCCATGTCCCTTTGGGATATTGCTAGTTCTGGAGTCTCGGCTGTTTCTGCTGAAGTCGCGAAGTCCTTAATTTATTTGTTTGTTCGGTGATATTCGTCCAAGCGTTGAAACGCACGTTGTCAGGATACTGGTACTGGATCACGATGATAACCGACGACACAGACTCTTCCTAGACAACTACGAATATCCTACTGGCTGCGCCAATTAAGTTGACGACAACGTCTTATTTAAAAAAATAATTTATTTATACAAAATTACAGAGTTACACTTATAATTACTTCCAAAACTAATCCGTCTTACAGTTAACTTAGCCTAGTATTTATATTAAAATATCTCTTACTAAGCAACCCGTGCTATGACGCAGGCGCAGGCCAAACGGCTGTACGTGCTTTTTGAGGCACGGGGGTGAAACACCGCTAATTCCTTGACTCCAGGTTGTTACTGAGAATTTCATGACAGGCAAATTCAATAAGCGCTCGCAACAAGAATAGCAAATGAATTGAATTGCATTTTATTTCACAATCTGCAGAAACTTTACGACAAAGATGTCATGGAAGCGTACCACAAGGCGCAAGAGTGTACACCTGCTCACGAGCTGCTGCAACAGAACAAGTCGAAAGTCACTACGTACAAGCTCGACAATGCCTTTGACAGAATTGCTCTCAGCCAGCTCACTGCTGGGGATAAGCCGGGTAAGATTTAAATAGTTTAGTATTTTAAAATTATAATCATTGTACATTGAAACGTACATATTTCATGCTAACTTAGCAGTCTTAATAACACTGCACTTTAACGCGCCAGTACTCGGCGAGCAGTGCACTTCAAGCATCCATATCAAGCAGTCGTTTACTTTATCATTCATATTATCATATCAAATACATATCATATCATAGCAAACTTTATATCCATCTATCATCAAGTATGGGAATGACGTCCTACATTTATTGGTCCTTCGAGCATAAGAACAAGCGGGATCTTTCGTCACTCCTTCGTACCTTTGATCTAGCGTTTGGGAAGGTCTAAGTTAAAGATTAAGTCAAAGAGAAAGTTAAAGCCTATCAAAGTCCACATAGATTGCTTCATAAGGGGACATCTGCTACACTCGCCATGTTTGACAGATTGTTAGGAAGCCGCTGCTGTCGCCTGGTTTGTTACCATCTGCTGTTTCTTACGATCCCTACGGTTCGAAGTAGGTTAGGATAAAACCAACAGGTAGTTGATGGACTGTATTTTGTTGATTTCGTTCGGGAAGGCATGTGTATAGACGGAACTTGTGATGGGGTTGGTGATAATGAAGGTAACCAGGTTAACAAAGAAATTATAAGAGGCATTCCATCTCATTCGTCTTAGTCCTCAGATATGACAACGTTAACAGTGGTTTTACATTGTTTTAAGTAGTTGCAGCCGTGGCAAAAACAGTAAATATAGAACAGTTTTAAACTACCACACGGAGCGTTGGCCGCTCCCCGGGCAGAACACCTTGTCCGGCGGGAGATCTTCTCTTTTTCTTCCACGGCCACACCACCAACAATGGTTTTTTTCAATATTTTATTGTTTCCATAGTTTATTGTGCAGTGTGCGTAACATATATGTTCTTTTTTCAAATTTTATCGTGTAGTGGCGGAGTAAGAATATTCATTATGGTTTTAAAAAACATTACCCTACACTGGGATCATCTCCTGTATGGAGGAGGCAGTTTACAAACATGAATTACACGTGGACAAACATCCAAAGCAATAATTTTGTAGGCCATACAAATACTTGTTCCGTGCGGGATTCGAACCCGTGGCCCTTAGCGTCGCAATTCATTGCTAAGCTACTGCGCCACGGAGCCGTCGTTACCCTACCTTTCTACTGATCACAGATTTACACGATCATTTGTCAAAGATATTTATTGCCAACCGTTACAGCCTATTATAGGCCACTGCTGGATATAGACCTCCCCAATAGATTGCCTCATAGTGGGGATATTTACCATAGTTGAGACGCTTGGCAAGCGGGTTGGCAACGCTGTCAACCACTCGTATTTCCTTCCCTTTGTCACCTCTTACGTCAGACACTCGTAGGATGATGTAGGGTAGTAGATATTATTGCACCGCCACTACACGGTAATCAGAAAAACGTTAAGCCTGAAAATACATATAAAATATAACACAGACGAATTGAATCGTCCTCCTTTTTAACGTCGGTTAAAAATTGAATGGGAATGACATATCTCAAGATCGCTTATTGTCACGAAACTTATGGTAACTCCCTTCCCCGTTTTCAATTAGCGTTTATTGAAATGAAATGAAAAGAAATTTTATAGCATTGTGAATTTACGCTTACGGGTGTAAAAGCACCTGAATTAAAACTACTTAGCTAAAAATGGTAACTCCGTTTGATTATTTATGCTTAAATTCTAAATACTCTTTTATACTGTAAAAGCAGTTCTATAAAAGCCATTATTTGGTTAGGTTTTTAAATATTTTCAAAGGTACATTTTTGAAACTATCTGGTTAGTGGTTATATATATATATATATATATATATATATATATATATATATATATATATATATATATATATATATATATATATGGGTGTGTGTAAATCAAATATGAATTTCTATCTATGTGTTTACTGCTTATTTCCAACAGTAAGCAGTAACCACATAAACCAAAACAACACTAGAGTATTCATATCCCTCCTGAATGTGAAATTATGTTCTGTGTTTAAAATTGAAGATTGGCTATTAACTAGCAAGAATCAAAAAAAAATCCTTATTTCAGACGAAAAGAAAATAAAACTGACGCAAGTACCTGGCGCTCTCCTGTTCCAGTACGTCGACAATGAAATGCAGTATGATATTGGAGAAGAGACTATCAATTCTTCGTGTAAATTAATTTTCTTTTGTCTTCTTCTTAAACAATGATAAATGGACAATAAAATATCAAATAGCTTTTACAGATCGTAAATTTTGAAACACTAAATTTAGTAAAACGTGCAATCAGTCAGTCTAATCCTTGAAGGTTTCTCTTGTAATTTCTCTGGTCTGGTAAAATTTATTAAAAAGAACTGGAATTGTAGCGGATCTTAGATACCTAATTTTCTCACATTTAATATAATTTTTCGCAAACCAACTCCCGATTCTATAAACTATCGATATTATTCTAAGAGAACACTCAAAACGTTATCTTAAGAGAAATTAATTAAATAAGTCAAAAATATTTCAGCTTCATCGGAAGACTTGACATCCGGCAATGAATTCAGCAATACGGATTCAAGTGACAAACAAGAAGCTGGTTTTAAACCAGCAAAGGAAGGTGAAAGGACTTTTAATAGACCAGCTACAGTTAAATCTGCAGTCAAGCCTGCTGATGATAGTATTAAAGTAGAGAATGACGATACCAAAGAAAAAAATGAAGATACAAATGAAAATGCTGAAATGTACAACAAAAACACAGAGCTTGCGAATGAAACAGAAAAAGGTAAAAGAAAATGTATAAAAAATCATCTTGCAAATTCAATTCAAAGACTTATATTTTAATTAAAAAGTAAGGAACATGTGGTAGAGCCATGTTGAAGAGCTATAGTTTGTCTGCCCCGCTGCCATAGTGGTTGTAAGCGCGATTAATTATGTACTCTTGGGTTCGAATCTTAGGCCGGGCCATAACACTTATTGGGTTTTGTTAGCAAGAAATTACCAGCCCGGAGTAAGTTGGTGTCTTACCTCCGTGCTTCGGAAAGCTAGTAAAGCAGTTGATGCTGCGCCTGATCTCTCTCCGTTCGTATCGGATTACCATACCATAAGACAATGCGAGTGATGGAATAAACTGTGCTTGCACATACTCTAATACAATTTTTTACTTTTTACGTGGTAGAGCTACGGTGCAGCACGAATGAATCGGCTTGACCGAGGAAGGACCACGCTCTTGCAGAATACCAGCGTCAAATAGCTAGCTCAATGTTTGTTGTTGTCTTTCGTATGGTGAGTGTAGAGAACCGGAGACCCTTTTTACCGGAAACTAGGCATTCCATCACAGTCCTCAAAGGTGACAACGCATCTGCATTTTGATTTGTAATCGAGGATAGATGTAGATGTCTGTGGGCCGCAGCAACCACTTACCGTCAGTTGGACTGTGTGCTCGTCTGTCACCCTTATTCTATATTGAATTATACCCCATCCTGTGCAGATAGCTAGTCTCCATTGAGACTGGCCACTGTGACCGAAGTTGGGCCTGGAGGACATTATTAATAGCGTTACTTGCATTTATTATTTTGAAGCGTGGACTGTTATCGGGCTGGCGATACTGAAAATAACACATAATATTAGAATCAACAACAGAAATACATCTTCCTTTTGCATCTTTGTGATAACTACTCAAAAAGAACTGCGTTTGTCAACCCGCCTGCCAAGCGTGGCAACTAAGGCAAAAAAAAAACCGTGGTTGTAGTAGTGCGATTGATCATGAGGTCCTGGGTTCGAATCCCAGGTCGGTCCAAAAAACTAATTATTGAGTTTTTCCGTCAAGAAATTCTCAGTACCTGCCCGGAGTCAGAAAGTAGGCGATGTCTCACCCCCGTGCCTCGGAAAGCTCGTAAAGCCGTTGGTCCTGCGTCTGAGCTTTCTCCGGTAGTGTCGGTTTTCCGTCCCATCGGATTAAGAGATCAAGGGAATAGTGAGTACACCTATGTGTAGTGCAGTATGTGCGCATATACTCTAGCACTATAATCCTGTCCTGTACCGATGGCTATTCTCCGATGTGGCTGACCGTCGTGACCAAAATTCGGTCTGGAGGACATTATGAGGAAAGCTATTAGGGATGCCTATGTTCAAAAGTGGAATTTTATAGGTTGTGATGAATTAGAATCATTAGATGCTGCTGGTGGGACTGAGGATGTTTCCAAGCCTTCAACTTCTTTCTCTGCCATGCTAAACGTCGACCGCGATGAAGCCAAGCAGTCTATAATCAACACTATCAACTCTTATGATGATGACAGATTCCCTTCTCATGGTAAGTTTGATGTTAATTTGTATTGCAAGCCTCATAAGCGAACCGTTAAGGTTGTGCTCTACCCTCACCTAATAGAAATCCGGTAGTTTTCTGAGCTAAAATGTCTTGATTTTTTTACTATTGCACTTTTAAAATAATAAAAATATACATATATCAAAAAAGCACTCGTTTTCATGTTTCTATTATTTTTAAAAGTAATTTTTTGTATTTAGTGTAAAACAATCTGATTGAAAAAAAAAATTCGAGGGTGTCCGGATGTCTGTATGTATGGATGGCGCACGATTACGGTCGTTAGAATTAATGTATTAAAATAATTCTTTTTTATTAGGTTTATGGTCTCCCACACGGTCAGTTAAAATGATAAGTTGAACTGACGTACATCTAAAGACTGACCGTGAGTGTGGAATCTTAAGTTGAAATTTTCAACCGACGACAAAGGATTTTTTCGGGCGTACTGTCAGTTGAAACAGCTCAGTCGAACTGACGTACATTCAAAATCTGATCGTGAGTTTGACACGAGAGCGCACAATCCACCTGATGCTAAGGAGATGCTCTGTCCCATAGACATCTACATAAATCCTCGATTAAGAATCAAAATTCAGATGGGTTATCACTCCTGAGGACTTAGATTCTCGTTTCCAAAAAAAAGTCCCCGGTTCTCTACACTTACCATACGAAACACAGCAGCATTAAGCTGCTATTTCACGCGGGTTTCTGTGAGAGCGTGGTCCTACCCCGGTCGAGGCAAGCTATTCCTGCTACAACCATAATCTAGCTGCATCGTGGCTCTACCAGGTAGAGTACTGCTTACTGACGACTTCACAAGGACTTGTCAAGAATGGAGACCAAGATTGGAGGCCTCAGTGGAGCTCAATAACGGGACGTATATAACATATGGGCTGTGGATTCTGTTTGTGACCAAATCTTTTGTTGGTTTAGCTCTAGTGCATAGAATACCATAATACATACATAATATAACGGGGGAGTGGGCGGAGCCCGCGTAGCCATTAAAATTTTTGTTTTTGTTTTTTAGTAAAATATCAGTGCCATAGGCTTCTACTCCGTTCACATGTTACACCCAATCTTTTTTCAGACAGTAAAAAAGATCATCCAGTATATTACATAAAATATACTCTCATTGGATGAGTGTTTGCACCACAACAAAGTCGCTTGCACAGCTTAACATGTAGTTCATTCCACCAGGAACAAACTACGCCGATATGGCAGAAAATTCGCGCATTGAAGAATCCGTGGCTTCGGAGATTCTCGACCGCACCCTGAAGTACAAAGAGCAAGAGTTCTACCGTCAGTATGACCTGATAAACAGCCACGCCGGCAAGATCGACAACAGGACTAATTCCATAATTGAGCACATTTCTGATCAGTTGGCCCACGAGTACTCTGTAAGTAGTTTTATGAAGTATGATGTGCGGTGGCGGGTTGAGGGAATCCTACACTCCATAACGTCCCGTAGGTGTTGCAAGAGGTGAATATTAGATAAATCAGAAGTTTTGGTAAGATATAGTCCATGATAGATATATCATCATCGTGATCATGGAATTGTGCGAACTAATTCCAACCGCTCAATTTCACCGTCACACATGGCGACTATACTCGCAATACCATCCATGACATCTGGACGAATGGCGGTCCACCAGTGTGTGATTCACTAAGTTTTTTTCCTCCCACAACTTTCTTGTGGAATCGATTACTACTATGCCAAAGAATCTACTCTTTTTTGAAAGTCTGGCAGCGCATCTGTAACTTCCCTGGTGTCGCAGTTGTTCATAGATGGCGGTAGTCACTTATCTGCTCGCTTGCCCACTCTTATATATAAAAAAACGAAAGTCATTCACAAGTTCACGTCCGAAAATAAGTCTTCCCCAAAGAATTTCACAAAGCACGGTCCCGAGCCACCTGCATCCATCGACTTCCTCCATCTCTCACCATGTCGTAGATAGTGATATAACCATACCAAATTGTAATACTAGATTTACCGGACTCTAGAACTCCGTCTGGGTAGAAAACACACTCTTGCCTTTTTCTGCTACTGTGTTCTGATCTGAAGGGTATAGTGGTTAAATTACAGGCTGTGAGGCATTCCATCTTCGTCCTCTGTGGTGTCAACACATCTATAGCTTTCTTTATTTTTTTTCTTGGAAGAGTTTTAGTTGGTTCCAAGTGTCCACACGGGCTGCAGCAACCACTTGCAACCAGGTTATGTAAATTTGTTTAGAACTTGCCCATGAGCTGCTGCAGCCACTTACCATCAGGTGGACTGGTAGTCACTTCACATTTATAAAAAAATGCAAAGTATCCAAATCGGCGATGAGCCGCAGCGTTAAAGTTACAAGACGTCTGGTACTGCGAACGTCAATCCCGTTAAGTGTGATGACACAGCTACTAAGAGGATACTACGCGTGATCTCTGTGAATAAAAGTTTGAAACTTAGTCTGTGGTAATAAGAAATTTCATATTCTAACTACCGTTTGTCTATTATTGAAAATAAGGGCAAATGCTTTTGTTCTAAGATTTCTCCTTATCGAAAACTTGTAGGGAGAGGAACATGTTGATTTTACGCAATGATGATCAAGATGTTTCACTTGTCAAAACTTAAATTTTATTAAATTAAAAGCTCAGAATGTAAGAGCGTTTTCATTAGTTTATCAATGACTGACGACCAGCCTCGGATTCGCCTGGATAGTATCTTTTGATGTGGCGTTATTAAGATTTACGTTAGTCAAAGACTATTTATTTTATGAATTTTTCGTTTTGTCAATAAGTTTTTCGGATAAAATATAAACTACATCCCTTATGGTATTGCCCATTATCTGTTCGTGAAGTTTCATCACAATCAATTCATTCATTCGCCGGTTTAACAGATAAACATTTTAAAAATTGTAAGTAACTCATATCTTAATAGAATGCGAATAACCACATGAGCTCAGTAAAAGGCACGGGTAATACAATTTTAACGGCATTTTTATACGTAAAATATATTTATAAACTCTTCTCTGTTATTTCTTATTTAATCAAAATCCACAATTAGTGGTATGGAACTAGCGTTCACTAAATCAAAAATCTTAATTTTCATAGCTTCCGGAAGTTTCCCGTGTACTGGAAGCCCACATGGAGGCAACGGAACAACGATGGCGTGCTGGTGAATTTGTTCCTTATGCTTTGGAAGATAGCCCTCCCGATTCTATTGTAGATGACAATGAAACCACTTTGATACCAAGTCACGATTCGACTTTCGAAGACACTTTAATTGATGAACAGGACATTGCGGCAACAACAGAAATCAAAGATTTTGGAATTACTAAAACGACTGATAAATTAGCTAACAAATCAGATGATATTGATGAAAGCAGTAAAGATTTGAATAAAACGTTAGCTAAAGATCTTGTGGTCGATGAACAGAAAGTTGAAGAACATGAGAGTAGTGATGTTTTTGAAGACTGTGTTGCTAGCATTGATACAAAATTAACCAATATCAATAAAGATGAATTTGATTGTTCAGAAGAGACATATACGCTGGAAATGAAATTGGCTTTAGAACGTGATGGGTAGATTTTTAATGTTATAATTAAATAAACTCGTAGACACTTTAATAGAGATCGACATCAAATATCGTTTAGCGGAATTTATGTAGGTGAAAAAGTGAATTAGCAACTTGAAATTATTAAAGATTTGTTAACGCTAAGAGGTTAACAGCGTAATTAAGTCATTTTGCAATATAAAATTCAAAGGATTAAGATTTTTTTGTCTTTATAACCCTTAAAAAGTTCATCTTTTCCACGACAATACTTACGCGAGTACCTACTTATATACAATTACACGGCCTTCCTCATTAACCGTTGGTTATCGCTTACTTAAATTAAGTATTAGTTATCTCTATACATTTATCTTTCTATAATTTAGTGAAAAGAGAGCGAACTACTAGTATTCTTAAAACTGACGTTGATGTTTATGACCTTAATAGTTTCTAAAATGTTGCCCATAAATGTTGTCATCATAAGTGGTTTGTTGCGTTTTTTATGGACTTGATACAAACTTTTCATATAATATATTAGACCTACCTTAGCCTTACGACTATTGTAATATGTAATTTTAATGTTATCTTCCTAATGTCACCCTATTTTTTTGTCATTTGTTTTATTTTTATTTAAGAGTATTCTATACTGAAAACATAGGTAGACTTTTGAATTTGTGTGAAGAGTATTTTTTTTTTGTTTGATTACGATATTTAGCGATTAACAATAAAGTGGCGTTGAAGTCTGAAGATTCATTTTTTCATTTACATACTCTTAATCTAAATGTTTTAGGATCGATTTCAAATCCCCAGGTAAAAGTTATTCAAAGGATATAACATAGAACAACACGGGACACCGGCGATCGGATGGGAAGTATATAGTACTAGTATAGTAATAGTTAATCACTCTTAAAGACTTCCAGTTAAGAGTCTCCGGTTCTCTATACTCACCGTACGAAACATAGCAGCATTAAGCTGCTTATTTACTCGGAAAATCGGAACTTAGAAGGAAAATTTCTTTTTGAGACACAAAAATATTTTTAAAGCTATTTTCGTTAATTTACAACTCTTTCGTTCGTTATTTTGATGGTTTTTGCAGTGGATTTATTTCACAATAAATTGATACTTATTTAAAATATTTTTTTAACTTATTATAATCCAGTGCTTGATTTCTATCCCACTGGTGGGTAAGGTGATGCAGTCGAAGATGGCAAAGCACACTGTCAGCTTAACAAATGCCTTTTCTCTCGTGCCTTAAGACATTATAATCGGATAAAAACAGACGCTGGCAGATTATTCCACTCATTAGTTGTGCGCATTGTGAACTATGAACCAAAAAACCGTTTATATAGTTCTTAATGCGTGCACGTATAGATCTTTGGGCACTACAAGACTTGTGGCATTGGTGAAATTAACTTGAAATAAAAATAATAAGGATTGAAAAAGAAATGAGACCATAAAATTAGCAAACTACTTTATTTCACATTTTTTTTACTCAGTAGGAAATATTTTTATTGCACCTATTTAAAAAAATTCCAATAACAAAAAATATCTTTGTTCTATAAAAATATCTCTCCTAGAATTACATTGTCATCAAATAGAAATTTATTTTAAAAATGCTTTTCTCCGACTTAAGGTGGCATAAAGATAAAAACTATTTACATTTTCCAGTATTATAAATTTTAAAGTAAATTAAAATGTGTCCTGTCAACCTGACATTAAAAATGGCGTGAAAATAAAAAAGGTAATAGGTATTAATTTATAAATATACAATTAATTGCCTCGTGAGAAAACAGATATTTGCAATATATATATTGTTGCTATTATGTGATGCAATAATATTGACACACTTCGACGAATTTACATTTAATAATTTAAAATAAAATATGAGTACCGTAGAGTACCCCTCCCCTAACTTCAACTTGTGTACATAACTTCGGCGAAAATTTAAAAAATCCTGTATCATTTTTTCCTTGATGAGCACACTGTCTGTAGTTTAGTTGGGAAATACAACCATTTAAACATGCACATTGCAAGGACATTTACCAACATATTAGCGGCCATCTTGCATTGACTTATATATTACTAGCGTAAGGACCTGGCCGACCGAACAACTAAAACGGACCCGTGCTCTGGCCCTAAAATTACAATTTAGGGCCAACGCGCATCGGTCGACTGTAGTGCGCGCGCAGGACAGATTTGTCTGTAATAAATATGTCTAGTTGCGTGCTAAAAGAATGCTAAAATTACGATACAAAGATTAAAAAAAACAGGATATCATGTCATCGGTAAATAACCTTACATTAATTTTGTTACAATTAAATTATTATATAAACGCATTTTTAAAGCTTTATTTTACAGTTAGTTTAGTTACGTTACCAAGATTAGACTAGGGTTGGATTCAGACCCTCAAAAATATTGAACATGGAAATTAAAATTATACTATTTAAAAAAAATCACGTTTGACGTTTCTTGTTTCTTTTCCCCACGTGCGGGGATTTTGGCGTCACGCGTCTAGTTTATCTATACGTTTCATTTTTTGACGGTTTTATTTTTATTTCTGTTTAATTTTTGTCTAAAGAACTTAATGTAAGTTAAATTTTGAATATTAGTACCTAATATATTTTATATTCAATAAGGGTAAAACGAAAAGAGTACAAAAGAAACCATATCTGCTTAATTAAATCGGAAAATCGGACTCGTAAAATATTTTGAAATTCTGTTTTTAAACCGATTGCTTTTGGAGCATAGATTTTTTTATCGTGGTAGCCCCATTAAAGTTGTATCAAGGATGCAACATAAATGCATTGATCGAGCATCGATTGACCAGAAAGGGAGCTACTTCTAATTTTATTAAAAAAAAAAAAACGCGGTACTCACGTACAATACAAAAATTCTCGATATCGTAGGGTTAATATTAAAATGTAAAAGAACCAATAATAATACAAGTCAACCTTTAGGTAAAATGATGGTATTTTTTACTAAAGAAAAATTTATAATGTAGTAATGCTCTACTTTTTCTTGTATGAAAAATTTATGAGTAAAATATTCAGATGGGCCTATCCCTCTTTTTGAAATCATTGCCATTTTGTCACAGCAGTGAGAAACGTTGGAATGCGCGCACGCTATTTGTTAACAGATCCCGAAAATTTGCCTCATTGCTCAGAGCTCCATGGAGGTAAGTTTTTTGTATCTTTACTATATTTTACTAATATAATCGTCTGTCAAAATTCAAAAGCTAAGTCAGGTTTATTCATTAAGCATAGAAATATCAGGGCAGACAATGTTAAGTTACAATTTTCAATGTATGACATGTTCCAAGCTTCGTCTGCTCTTAGGGTTGTCAAAACTTTTTATTCTACCCGTGATTTTTTATTTAGTAAACTTCGGTGTATATATTTTGCTTTATCATTAATTTAAACTGTATTTGTATATTTCTATATGCAAGCTTGGAGAAAGTTTAAATTAATTAAAAATACCAATTATATAATGTTTTTTTTTGTGCACAACTTAACTTTGTTTTTCTTCTTTATTGGTCCGTGGCAATTAACGACAATAGTTTAATATTGTTAGGGTTATAAAGCAACAGTTTGCGATTTAAAACACAATATGTCGTGATCTTGTCAAAACAAACTTAACCCCTCAGTCCCCTTAAAATTCCCATGTAGTCGCATGCGTTCGTCAAATCCCGAGCGGCCGCATGCGATAGCACCCACACACAGCTCTTTAAACTATTAAAACTTATATTTAGAGACTACTTTTCTTCTCTATGAAGAAGTGGAATTTTATAAAATCTACACAAAATTCTCTATATAAAAGTCAGCTTTTACGTCATTACAAAAAGACTATTATATTTTGATAACAAAAACAAAACATACCAAAGGAATGTCGGCAGCGTAAAAATCACAATTATTTCAATATATATTACTCGAAATTATTTACGTAAAAGGTATATATACATATACATATATATATATATATATATATATATATATATATATATATATATATATATATAACTAGCTGACCCGGCAAACGTTGTTTTGCCATATAAATAATCTCCTAGTAATTTCTAGTGTAGACAAACAATAGCTTACTTATTGTAAGTATGTATGTATATTAGAATGTATATATTGTATGTATGTAAGAATGTGGTATATGCGTGAAATAAGCATGGAGCGCTGTGAACGATGAGTGAATATAAAAATAACAAAAGGCAAACATTATTTTTAAGTTATTATAATTTATTCCTTAAAATTACATATCATTAATTAAACAATTACGACAGTAACACTATTAAACAATATCAATCTCTTAATGCTATATCGTGAACAATATTTTTTGTTAGTCCATCTTTAGCTAACACAAACAAACTTGATGGTTTACCCACTCGAGAGCATGCCACGTATAATTGTCTGTGTGAAAAACATGGTGTTCTCAAATCTAATCCACAAACAGACATCGTTTGACCTCGGGATTTGTTGATAGTCATTGCAAATGCCAATCTAATCGGAAACTGAATACGTTTGAATTGAATTGGCACATCTGTAGGTATAATAGGAATCCGTGGTATGAGTATATTTTCACCTCTGAACTTGCCATTTAAAATCCTGGCTTCGATCACGTTTTTCATTAATTTTTGAATGACTAATCGCGTACCGTTGCACAGCCGGGGCGGGTTCAAATTACGAAGCAAGATAATTGGAGATCCAACCTTTAATTTTAAATTATGCGGTGGCATGCCTGGCAATTCCAGTGAGTTCAAAAACTCTGTGGGAAAATTTACTGCTTCGCTGACGTCGCAAACTGTATCAATAGAGTTATATGATACCAAGTTCCCTGGCAACAACATTTGTATCTTCAGATTTAAATTGTCAACGTCTACATTTTTTGCCGCTAAAATCGCTCTTTCTGCAAGCCACTCATGATTTATGCACTGTGTGTGTGCATCGGGAAATATTTGTTCAATGATAGTATCTTGCGAATTCGAGCATTCACATTAGTATTTTTCACTCTAAACACAGCCATATCACTGCTTTTATGGACATACTTGCAAATGTATTTGATGCTCTTCACAGAACTGCAGAACTCAACATTAATATGAGCATTATATGTCTTGCTCAGCAGAGGCGAATATGGCACCACCCAACGATTGTCAATATCAATGTCTGTGTTGATGATATTTTTAATAAATATTTGTCCGCCATTTTCAGGATTTCTTCGACGATATATTGGGTATCCGTCGACATTTGTGACCGTATTATTGGTAAAATCTTTAGGGAAATTTTTAGTACATTTTCCATCAGCCATGCAAGGCGATGAACTATTAAGAGAACCACATTGACCATGAATCATGTTTGTTGTAACAATATCAAACAGCAGTTGGTCAGTGGATGGATCTGGAATTTCCGCAGAAATGATACTATCGATTTCTTCAGGACGGATTTTGTCGATGAACCAAACCAAAATGTGTGCATGAGGTAATCCTCGCTTTTGCCACTCAACCGAATACATCCAGCAACGTGTGGGACCAAATACATGTGATTTAGTAATGAAACTTATTGAAGACTTCAACTTTTGTCTGAACACACGTGCTGTAATGTCATGGCGATGTATTGCATTTTGGCCAGGCAGTAGCAAAGATGTAATCTCTGGCCATTTTGGATTACATGTGAACGTGATAAATAAACATGGTCGTCCATATTCGCGCACGAAAGTCAGAGCATCCTGTATATATTCTTGCGTATGACGTGGACTGCCTACGTACGATGATGGTAAAATGACATGGTTACCAATTTCGGTGACGTCGGCGTTGTTGTTGATAGCGTCTCGCAAATGAATGTACTCTTCCGCGCGCAGCTTTTGTTGATTATATCGTAAGTATCGTAGTCGTTCGCTCTCAATCTTCGCGGACATGTCGACCATGAATTGTTGACAAAGCTCACGACATCGTAAAATGACGTTGTCCAGGCCACGTCTAATCATTAATCGGTACGCATAATAATCCTTTGAGCTAACGTTCTTGTTTGTTTCAGCTCCTGTAATATTTATTCATAAAAATTAATTTAAATTTATTACGTTCAATAATTTAATTGTTTTGTTAAATGATTAATGATCAAATTTATAATCAATGAAGTACCTGATACGGGGTCTCGTTGTTTTATGTTTATGCAATATCCGTCTTGTCCCTTCCAGAATATTAGTGGATATTGGAGAGCGTCATATGAACGATGTGTGTCAGCAATGAACTGAAGATTATTATTTCTTCTACGTAGCACAATTTCTCATGCAGCTGTACAATCGCCAACCATGATTCCAGCAACATCATCAACAACGGGTGCATTGAATCTACGAATATGCTCTCCAGCTGGTGTTTTATCAGGATTAATGACGATAGCGTGAATATCGCTTTGTAATTGGTGCATATGTGATTTGAATATTTTCAACAACTCGTTGTGCTCGTTCAAAAAAGCATCTAGCTCGTTGACGATGCCCCTGGCATAAATAGAATCAAGGTTATTATAATCACAACGTGCATTCACGCGATTGGCAAGTGCGCTTCCGGAATCCTCGCCGCCCATAAAGTAGATTTGTAAGAATTTATGTGGTTCGTTTGGCATTGGCAGCAGTGAGCCCATTTTATGATAAACTTGGCCTCTGATTTTGAATGTAGAATTGAATTGTTGACCATTTGCATTAGTAGGTATTTCGAACTATTTCTGTTGCTCCGAACGATGTCATTTGAAAGCATGAATTGAATCTTCGAATTGACTTCAGGAACACGTTAGAATCTGGATCCGTGCCGATAAGTAAGCCGTTCAATGGTTCAGGTGGTGTTTCAATTTCAGGTAGTTGCACTTTTCCTGACGCGCAACAGATCCCAGCTGGCTCATTTTTGAATTTCAGAGCATGACAATGCGGACATTCCTTGTCCATAGCACCAATTACCACTTTTGAATGAGAATAATATTAAATATCGAGCTCATACTGGAATGCTAGACGCAGGAATGAATCAGATATAAATGCTCGATGTACCTGTTGTCGTTGTTGGTCATTTGTTCTTCGTCTACTGACTGTGAAACGGCATGATTGTCGTTGTTCTAATCTTCTGACTTCATTGCGTTCAGCTCGTGTATCTTCTGGATCTTCTTGATGCAATTGCGCCATTCTGACACGTGCATCAGTATTTTGTTGCTGGATTTGTTCTTCTGTTCTTTCGGATCTGCTATTTCGCAAGTTTCGAGCTTTACTTGTACTGCGGCTCAAATTAGCCCCTTTGCGTTTTCTTGGCATTGCTCACTGTACAAAACATACATAAATAGGATTAATGAAATTATTTAATGATGAAAAATGTTAAAAGTATAATTAGCGCCAGGATTTTTGCCGCAGTTTTGAAATGATTAGTTTTAATTTATGAAATTATAACAAAAATATAAGTTTTATTGAAAAATTTTTCAAACAAAAGTAAAAAATTAAATTTTATGAAAACATTGTCTCTTATAATTTTTTCATACAACCAATATTTCCATTGACATTTCAAAATAAAGATTCATAATGATTGATTTTTTGGAAACTATGAAAATCTTAATTGTTCAATTACATTTTTTTAATAAAATTAAATTAAAATTACATTTTCATAAGATCAACAACAAACATTTTTATAAGATAAATAAAAAAAAGTATACTTACAACACAAAATCCGTTGTTATTGGAAGCTCGTGTCACGTGTTGAGTACTTTTGAGGTTATAAAATCACTTGATTAACTAATCGTGCAAAATGCACTCAAAATTGATAATTTAATTATTATTGATAAAATAGGAATGATTAAAAGTTAATATGAGAGTTACACTGAGATAGCAAAATAATAATTGTCAACGTTACTACTACACTTGATGCATAAACAATAATGATGGCCGACAACTGTGTAGGGAGTGTGAAAGAAAGGAGACCGGCTTCGTTCTCATCCCTACTCCGTGCTTTTTACTGGGTCAGAAGTGACACCTGTAGACATCTGGCGGGGATAACTAATTAAATGACGATTGATCAGTTTTCGACCGGAGAGGAAAAGTGATTAAATTACTAAAATGGCTATTAAAAAATAAGGGTTGACTGTAAAAGGGTGAAAATTGAGGATTGTATGTATTTTTGTATGTTGTATCATAAAAAAAATAGAAATTAAAAAATTTGTCTAAAAATTAAAAAATATTTTGGGGTGGACTACCCCTAACATTTAGGGGGGATGAAAAATAGATGTTGGCCGATTCTCATACATACCAGATAAGCACAAAAAATTTCATCAAAATCGGTCAAGCCGTTTCGGAGGAGTATGGCAACGAAAACTGTGACACGAGAATTTTATATATTAGATATATATATATATATATATATATATATATATATATATATATATATATATATATATATTTATATCCACACAAAGACTTTCATTACAATTTTTTTTAAATAATATACTAAAACACTAGAAAAATCCAAAAAGCAACACAATAACATTCACGCAAAATTGGCGTACGAAATGAACGCAGATTATAAATAAATATCTATAGTATAACTGTTTTTATTGCACTAGAGTATAGAAAATTTCATATTAATTCTATAATGCCAAACTTCTTCATAGAAAAGTTGTCTCTATATAAGTTTTAATGGTTTAAAGTGCTGCGGGTGTGCGCGATCGAATCCGACCGCTTGAATTTTGACGGAATAGCGCCGCGGTCGAATTAGAAGGTTTAGAGCTTAAAGGGTTAAAAAGCTGTTTTAAATTTGTTTGACCAAGATCATAACATATTGTGCATTACATTTTAAATTGATGCTTTAAAAACCTAATACTAATAATTAATTATTGCCACAGAAAAAATTCAATTTTTCAGTTTTTAATATAAAAAGTGGAAAAACAGAGTTAAACTGTGCACTTTTCGATGCGCTACTCACGTTTATAGTTATTCTTTGATACTTACAATATGTTTTTTTAATTGATGCTTGTGCATTTGAGGGCATCATGCATATATTTTTTTTTGTTTGTGTCATGTATATTGCTCCAGGGAAAATACTACGTATATATATAATAGTCTGAAATATTTTCAAAAAGAAGAAAAGACCATATACAGAGGCTCTTAGATACGATATGGTAAATTTGGCATTAGAATGCCTGAGAAAAAACAAATGTCTTCCTAAGAAGCACAGAAGCGTTTCAGGATACCAAGAAGTACTTTGCTAGATAAGTTAAATAGAAAATACGGAAAGGCTGTTGGGTGCCCCACAAGACTGACTGCACAGGAAGAAAATCAAGGAAGTCCGCTGACATTATTAGATCTTAGAGTAATGGTGCATTAAGTAATGGCGAAAATGAGCTTACGGTTTCCTAAAACGTCACCGTCACCAGTAGTAATTACGTGTGACCACAAATATAAAAAAGCTAGAACAGAGAAGTCTTGCGAAGAGTTGCGTAAATATTTTAATAACCTTAGAGCCACTGTAGAACAAATACCGAAAGAGAATATTCTACGATGAAACGAATCTTTCGGACAATCCGGGAAAAGCAAAATGTATTGTTAAAGAGGAGCAAAACACCCAGAGCGTATAAAGAACCATACAAAGGGTTGCATATCTATTATGTAAGAGGGGGCATGACGGGGACGCGAGGCACGACGGCGCCACTCACACTTACAAAAAACTATAGGCTCTAGATGTGTTTTGTTTTCGCTAATACTTTAGTCTGACAGTGACCGGCGACTAGACTGCGCGCGTTTGATTTTTAAAACAAAGAACGATTTTCAACGTAATTTTATGTAATTTTGAGTGAATACGGATACGCATATAAAAAGGTAAGTGTTAATGTTGCTACTATCATGTATTTATTTTGTTTTTGCAGATAAATTACTTATTGATATGTTTTGGACAAAAATACTGTTACGAGCTTGAGGTTCGTGACAATAAAAATTGCCGATAAAATTACCTAAATTAACACTTTAATTTACTTTACACAAATTAAAACTAAAAACACTAATAATTGAACACACTAATTCACTTAATTCCGCTCCGAAGCTTCGCTTGTGTCGCCGAGTTCAACTCTGCCCCGATCGCATCTTGCAGCGCCTATATATTTAAATTAGCAAAGAAATATCCAGAATGTTCAAGTAAACACGCGCAAGGTACCGAGCGTTCGAGTTTCGACTAGGCGCTGTCGGTTAAGTGATTTGTGATGTCATTTTCTCAATGCTCCCCTCGCTCTCGTTCCTGACACTAGATGGCGCTAGTGTATCGTCGACTTGAGCGCGTAACACTGCCCCCTCCTAAGACATGCTCGTCCCGAGCATTATCGGCCCCATAATAACGCGCCAAGCGATTCACATGGACGATCTTAGGAGTCCCTCTTGCGCCTTTCTGTAACGGCTCCGCAATGTCAAGGGCTGTCCTATCCCGTGGTGCACCAACATTGTACAATTTCGGTGCTCCTCTACTACGTGTCTGAGGTCCCTTCACAGCCGCACAACTTGTACATGTACGACACCAATCCTCGACATCGTCACGATAATGGACCCAGTAAAACTGTTCTCGGACCTTCAGTAGAGTTCGTTTAACTCCCAGATGGACTCTTGAACGACCATTATGGCACAGCTGTAGAACATTCGGCACTTTAGCTTTAGGGACAACCATTTGCAAACGACAGCTGTCTCTTCGACCATTGTCCCATTTACGGCACAGGACTTCATCCTGAATCAGCAAGCTGTCCCATTGGGCCCAATAGCTTTTCGTGGTTGAACTCATTGCTGAGACGTCCCTCCACTTAGGCTTGGTAGCACGGGCCTTCATCCATCCCAGAATCGGCTTGATGTCCGGATCTTCCTGCTGTGCATGTCGTAGGCTGTCCTTCCACCCGTTGCTGAGGTGGTCTGTCCTGAGCATCCTCACGGATACCACTTCCTTACTCTCTTGCCTACTACAATGGTTGCAATCTTCAGGACAAGGTCTTCTTGTCAATGCATCTGCGTTGCCGTGAGATTTCCCGCTGCAGTGTCCGATAGTAAAGTCGTATTCCTGCTGCTGCTGGGCGGTGCTGTTAGCCGCACTTCCTTTCTGAGACCGTTCACCTTCCCTTCCTAGGGTGTGCTTAGGGCAGCTGGACCGAAGATGGCCCCTTTCCCCACAGCCATAGCACCTAGGGCTGTATCTTTTATTGTGGTCGCGAACCGTAACTGCTGTAACCTCCCTAGCGTGAGGTGAACGATGATCCTGTCGCCGCCAGGCAGTGCCGTTAGCTGCACTACCCTCTCGAGATCGATCAACTCTCCTTACCACGGTTCGTTTAGGGCAGCTGGATCGAAGATGGCCCTTTTCCCCACAGCCATAGCACCTAGGGCTGTATCTTTTGCTGCGGTCACGGACTGTAGCTGCTGCAACCTCCCTGACGCGATGGGAACGATGATCCTGCCGCACGGCTTCCACTTCCAGTGCATGGGCCAAGGCGTCCTTAAGCGTCTCGTGGTGCCCGAGCCTCACAGCAGCTCTGATTTCCAGGTCGCGGATGCCGTCGATGAATGTCTGCACCAGGTTACCTTCAATGAGCGCAGGTACAGACCGGTATGCTTTTCGCACCAGCTTCTCCACCTCTAGAGCCCACTGCTGCAGGTTTTCGTTGATGCGCTGCACACGATCTTTAAGCTGCGCACGAAAGACGTGTTCCAGGTGAGCGTCGCCATATCTCGCCTCCAATGCCTCAAGGAGTTGCTCATAAGTCACTTCCTCACCGAGAGCTTCCAGAACTGTTAAGGCCTGGTCGCGCAGGCCTAGTGTGAGAGCAGTCATGGCCTGACTTTTATTCCAGCCGTTCGCCTTCATAACAGCCTCGAACTGGATTTTGTAGGCTGACCAGGAAGAAGTCCCGTCGAACGGTGGCACTTTGAACCCACGTAGCGAAGGTGTAGTAGCTACTACGGGAGCTGTAGTTCCATCACCCAGTTTGAGGTCGTCCAGCGTTTTCTTCACGTCAGCCACCACGTAATCAACCCGATTGTTCACTTGGTCGATTTGGGTTTTAGCTTCCTTGATTTGGGTTTCAGCTTCCGACAGGCGGTTGTCATGTTGAGCAACCCTATCCTTCACCTCCCTTATCTCTTTCCCAAAGGTAGCATGAAGGTCCTTCATAAGGAGCATCTGCTCTTCCGACCGACGAGCCTGTTCCGCCTGCTGATCTTCCAACCGACGGGCCTGTTCCTCCTGTCGGCGGGCCTGTTCCTCTTGTCGGCGGGCCTGTTCATCCTGTCCGCTCTGCAGCTGCTCTTTCAACTGACGGACCTGTTCCTCCTGTCGGCGAGCCTGTTCCTGCAGCATCACCATCAGAGCACCTAAGTCAGGTGCTGCAGATGTAGGAGCTACTGACGGGCCTGCAGCCGGCGGCTGTCCCTCCGAAGTCTGCGACGTTGCACCACCAAATCTTCTTTGGTCCGTCTCCTGCTGGCGTTGACTTCGGGTACGGACACCCTCCGTTTCCTCCTTAGGTAAAATCGGCATGATTTTATCCCACTTCTGACACCAATTGTTACGAGCTTGAGGTTCGTGACAATAAAAATTGCCGATAAAATTACCTAAATTAACACTTTAATTTACTTTACACAAATTAAAACTAAAAACACTAATAATTAAACACACTAATTCACTTAATTTCGCTCCGAAGCTTCGCTTGTGTCGCCGAGTTCAACTCTGCCCCGATCGCATCTTGCAGCGCCTATATATTTAAATTAGCAAAGAAATATCCAGAAAGTTCAAGTAAACACGCGCAAGGTACCGAGCGTTCGAGTTTCGACTAGGCGCTGTCGGTTAAGTGATTTGTGATGTCATTTTCTCAATGCTCCCCTCGCTCTCGTTCCTGACACTAGATGGCGCTAGTGTATCGTCGACTTGAGCGCGTAAAAATACTCTAACCGTCACTCATTTTATTTCGTTTGTTATTTTAAATAATGTGAGAATTGGGGCATAACGGGGACATGGTTACGGGGCACGATCGGGTACCCCGTTATGCCCCGCAACCGTTGTCCCCATTATGCCCCTGTTTTGTAAATTAACTGAAGGATCGTTCTTGTTCATTTGATAATAGAAATTATTTTGTTTTAGGTATAAAAATGGTACGGACGTATAAGAAGAAAAGTTCGAGACTTAGTTGGTCCATGGAAAACATGAAACAGGCAATTGATGCAGTCTTAAGCAAAACAGTTGGCTATAGAAAAGCAGCTAACCTGTATAGTGTACCACAAACCACATTAGAGCGTCACGTCGCTAAAATAAGGAAAGGCGAGCTGTCTCTTGACTCTACTCCAAGTAACTTCAAGCCTGTGTTTTCCAAACAAGAAGAGGAGGAGCTGGTAAAGTACATCATAGAAATGGAGAAACGTTTGTTTGGTTTAACCACTATCGTCCTACGGAAGCTAGCTTATCAGCTAGCGGAAAAAAATGACAAAGCTCACAATTTTAGTCACGATAAAAAGATAGCTGGCGTAGATTGGTTAAAGGGATTCTTGAAGCGCCACCCAGATTTATCTATCCGAAAACCGGAAGCTACATCGGCAGCTCGAGCAATGGGCTTAATAAAGTGGCTGTGGTTAAATTTTATTCTCTGCTCGCGGAAGTATATGATAAATATAATTTGACGCCAGACAGAATTTTTAATTGATATGAGACTGGCATATTATGCGTCTCAAAAACGAAGAGCAAAATTATTGCAGAAAAAGGCAGAAAACAGGTAGGATCGCTTTCTTCAGCAGAACGAGGGCAGACAGTTACGGTTGAGGTATGTTTTAATGCAGCAGGAACTTACATGCCTGCTACGCTAATATTTCCTCGACAGAGAATGAAGTAAGAGTTGCTGGATCGAACTCCTCCTGGGACGACAGCAGAATGCAACGCTAAAGATGGATGACAACTGAAATATTTATGAGTTGGTTCCAACGGTTTGTCAAGTTTTCTGGTGCGTCAATAACTAACCCGGCCTTGCTTCTTTTAGATAGTCATGTAACACATACGCAAAACATTTCAGTTATTGAATATGCACGCAAAAATGGCGTTGTAATGCTTTGCTTTCCCCCGCACTGCATCCATAGGCTTCAACCCTTAGATGTTGGCTTTATGAAACCTTTAAGTGTATACTATGACTACGCTTGCTCTACTTGGTTAATGTCACACCCTGGGCGAATAATAACAACATTTCAAATAAGCGAAATATTTGCAAATGCATATATACAAGCTGCAACAATGTCTACAGCAATCAATGCCTTCCAAAAATATGGCATATGGCCTTTCAATCAGAATAACTTTACAGATTCAGATTTTTCAGCTGCCTCAACCACAGACGTACCGCTAGCAAACAATGAGTCTGAAACAGGTCCTTTAAATGTCGGAGTCCAGCAACAACCGCCGCCACCTATCCTTGAAGACATTCCCTTGAAGCAGATTTGCCTGCTTTAACAACACCTCAGGCTCAGCCTGGACCATCAACATTTAATGAGCATAGTCTAATCCAATCTCCGATTCGAAAAGTATGTCGTGATTTGACAACTTCGTTTGCAAATGCTTCGCCTCAAGAAATTCTTGCGATCCCGACAGTCGAACAAAGAAATCAAACGAGAAAATACTATCGCCGAGGGAAAACTGTTGTTCTCACGTCAACCCCCTACAAAATTGAGTTAGAAGAACGAAAATAACTTAAGAGAACGAAGAAGTGTTCTAATCCAAATGACCCCAAGTTAAAGAAGAACTATAAGAAACAGAAGACCCAAAAAGCTCCCTCTCGTGTAGAGAATGCCGGAGCTGCCTGTACTGCCTTGACGTTAACCACACTTATTTAAAGTCTTCGGAAGGTTGGGTGGCTTGCCAACTATGTGGAAGGTGGGCTCATACAGCTTGTGCTGGTGTAGACGACGACAATACACAAGACATCCACATCTGCTTGTACTGTGACGCAAAATAAATACGTACCCCATACTGCCCCTACCCTGGGGCACAATGGGGTTTTCATTATAGTTTCAAAAAATTTAAATTATAACGTCATATGATTAGTTTTAATTAATAAATACGTACCGTTGATTATTATTTTACTGTGTATTTTCCTTAACGTCCCCATTATGCCTGGATGAGAGGAAATTTGTCGTATATAAATGTGGACTCAGTGGATATTTGGAGGACCTCCTCAGACTCGTTATAGCAATTCAAAGTCCGGTTGGTTCAACAATGCATCATTTGAAGATTGGTCTACCAAAATTATAATACCGTAGGCAAAAAATCTCACAGGGCCCAAAATAATTATAGAGGACAATCTGCAATCACAAATTAACCCAGTATTGTATTTCTCTGCGAACAAAATGATATTCGTTTTGTGCTGCTAACTAATTCTACCCAAATAACACAGCCACTAAATGAAAAATGAAAATGACCCACTTAACCCATAAAAGGTTCTAAAGAAGCTGCCTGATTATAAAAAAAGCTGTGGATTATGGCGTCGACCAAGCTCTAATTGACTATCTAAAAGAGTTGAGATTACCAGCCAACAAGCGCAAGAAAAAAAAAGGCAGGAGCAAGAAAATAAACATAGAACCAGATAAATCTATTTCCTCTGAAGATTTCGAGTTCACTATGAATCTCGACTTTAAAGTGACGAGTAAAAAGGGAAAGAAAAAACAACCATCGATTCCTAATGAAGATACACTGGCATCCAAGAAAACAAAGACGTCACAACCATTGTCTCCGGAAAAAAGTTTTGATTACATCAAATGTTTTGGTCACCACCAGTAATACAAGGATTCAAAATGTCTGCAGCACACAAAAACATCAGTGAAATATCGAATACAGATATTACTGAGTTGTTGCCAAAAAAGAATTATAACACCTGCAAAGACTCGTCTGTTTGTTGAAGGAAGTTCTGATAAAGATGAAGATATACTATGAGGTATAGAAACAGTTCATGACAGTAGCAGTTGTAAATTACATATACATGAGTGTGGTAATTTGGACTGACAACTTTGGTTGTCACTGAATTTTATTTTACTGTGTTTCTTGCTGTTTTATTTCAACAAAAAATACATTAATTGTACATCAAAATAAGTATAAATTCATTACATTATTTACCTTTATTAGGCTCGCTATTTTAATATCTAATCTCAATTGTAAATTAGATTGCTTCTCAGATAAATTTTTATCTATATTTATTTAATAATACATCTTTACTTATGAAATTGCCGTTCGGCAGTACTGGCCATTTCAAACTTTAGTGTAGCCCTCACGGTAGTGTAGTATAATTAAAGTCATAGACAGAGAAACACATCTATTCATTGAACACATTCCAACATTACATGGCGACCCTGCCAGGATGTGAGGTGCGATAATGCACGCCCAGTGCCGCGGATTCCAGACATTGTTAAATCAAATAAGAAATTAATTAAAAAAATTAAAAGAGAAATAAATGAAGACAATTTTCAATTACTGAATTTGTTCATTTGTTTATTGATTAGCGTTATGTTTTCATCGCATTTGAATCTTTTCGTCGTCATGGATACGTTAAAAATTCGAGTAATTATGGAATTTGAGTACTGTCGTGGTAGCAACGCGGCACAAGCGGCACGCAACATCAACGACGTTTACGGAACAAATACTGACGCGATTTTCACAAAAAACATGTTTTAAACACTGTTTTCTGTCAATGTATCAAAAAGCGTTTACATAGTCAAAGAACATGTTGTTGTGAAATATGTTTGACAGTTTATTGTACATTACATATTTTAACTATATTATATCTTTATAACTATAGAAACAAAATATTTGAAAACAAATTCGTAGAAATATTGTCATGTTGAAAGATAAGTTTGAATATCTGTTGAAAATTTTACACAGTTTTTGTGAGTGCGAACGCCACCATCAACAAAACATGTTGTGTGATTTATTTTATGCGATTTGTTTCAAAACATTATGTGTTGGATGTTTCTCAGTGTAAACGTACTGTAAGGAACGCACTGCCTGTTGTTGGATTGCCCGCTTGCGTTCTGGACATTTGGACCTGAAAAATGAACTCCCGTGGTTGTCCGAAAACTTTAGTCGACAATGACGAATTAAAGGCGATTGTGGAAGTGATGATACTCAATCTACAGCTGAATTAGCTGCAGTTTTCGACGTTAGCACCAACACAATATTGGTCCATTTGCGTCAAATTTGCAAGGTAAAAAAGCTTGACAAATGGATGCTCGAAGAACTCAATCATCGTCCGCGCGAAGTACGCGAAGAGACGTGCCTTAGTTGCAATGTTCAATGGGCACACAAACGAAGAAATTTCGAACACAATGTTACTTGCGACAAAATATAGATTCTGTTTGACGATCACAAGAGCTCAAGGTTGGACCCTGGTTCAGCTCATAAACAATCCCCTAAACGGAAAACTTACCTATATAAAAGTGATGGTCACTGTTTCGTGCATCACAGCTTTCATTACAGCTTCTTACTAAACGGGATGTGCATTACTGCAGATATGAACTGTGAAGAGCTGAACACAATGATAGAGAAGCTCGCACGTCTCCAACCAGCTTTGGTCAATCGCTCGTACCTGCTCCTGCACGACTACGCGTGACCTCGCGCTGCACTACAGACGGACTTCGAATTACAAAAACTGGGGTTGAAAGTTCTCCGTCATCCTCGCATTGCTTCTACTTTTCCAGAATTCTGATAACTTTTTGGCGGGAAAAAAATTAAATACCTGAGAGTTTAATGCCTTCCGTCCAGCTGATTTCTTTAAGAAGGGTATCAATAAACTGCCACTGCGTTGGCCAAGATGCATCGATTGCATGTGTGCTTACTTTGCTTAATAGAAATAAAAATAAAAGAAAAAATTGCGTTAATTCATAACAAACAGCAATTTCACAGGTAAAGACCTAATATTTAGTTAGAACAAAAGTAAGGATCGATGTTTCAATCGTCATATAAAAGTAATCGATTTAATAAATATTGTAAAGTGGCGGAGTAAGAATATCCACTACCCCATATCATCCCGTGGGTGTTGTAAGAGGGGACTGAGGGAAACAAATGAGGAGAGCCTGCGGATTTTTTGTGTTTAAAAAAATTTTTTTTTTATTTTTTTAATTTTTTCTTTTTTTGTTTTTTTATCAAAATTTTTATTTTTGATATTTCTCAAAATCTAAATCCAAATAATCTTCTCTAAACCGCATCTCAATCGATCAAGGCGTTCGAAAATTATGAAAGGTTTACATACTTATACACACGCACGCACGCACGCACGCACGCACGCACGCACGCACGCACGCACGCACGCACGCACGCACGCACGCACGCACGCACGCACGCACGCACACACACACGCACACACACACACACACACACACACACACACACACACACACACGCACGCACGCACGCATACACATACATACATCCGGACGGACGTCCACGTGAAATTAGTCAGAATAGCTTCCTGGGACCTCAAATCGTCGAGATCTGATGAAAACTCGATTTTAGAAAATCGGGGTGAAAGCAATAACTTCCCTATTTTTGAAAATTTTCAATTTTCTTAGCAGGAAGTTAAATATTGCGGTTGCCAAGCGAGGCAACTATGGCAGATATCCCCCCTATGTGTCAACCTATAGAGGAGGCCGATGTCCAGCAGTCGACTTTCATAGGCTATGATGGTGATGGAAATGTAAAAGTGAAACTATTTAATTCATACGACTGTATTTTAAATTTGTTTATATTGTATTTTATACTAAGAATAACTTTTATCTGACAGTTGAAAAATCGATCCTAGATAACTATATACAGTTGTCAATACAAAGCCATAGAGTAATTTAGTATTAACATTATAATATTCATGTTTACCACTCTAGGTAACCTTAAAATGTAAGGAGTAGTTCACCACAGTAGTAGAATGGCGGATTCGAACTCACAACCTGTGAGTTTGTGGTCCACACTACCATTACACTACTGTCGCTTTTTGAATAAAAGATATAAAAGGTAAAGGCTGTAAGGTAAAGGTTGATTCTGTAAAAACGTGTTATTTATTATATTAATAAATACTTTAAAAATATTTAAAAAACTAATTATTTTGAGTTTAAATAATATATTGGCACAATACGTGATGTGTTTATTGCCAGTCGAAAAAATAAAATGTCAACTTTCTTCGAATCAAAATTTGTATATAAAATAAACTTTGAAATTTTTATTTAACAATAATTACTTGTAAAATATATTTATACATTTATCTCTATATATACCCAATAAATTCCATATTTCCGTACAATTTCATGCAGTGTGATGTTTCAAATCAAATATCTCCATTAACAATGGTTCTATCGGGTTAACGTCAAGATACACCCCTGTTAGTTCTTCAGCGAGCTTCCTAAGTTCCAGGATCTTCTGTATTAGCTTGAGGAACGTGGACTTCGCTTCGCAACCTGGGTATACACTTTCTAGGT